TGAACCCGGGAGGCGGACGTTGCAGTCAGCCAAGATCGTGCCACTGCACTCCAGCCTGGGTGACAGAGTGAGACTCCGTCTCAAAACAAAAAACAAAACAAAAAAGGAAAGAAAAAAAAAAAGAAAAAAATGTTTATTTTTCCATTGTTGGGTACAGCGTTCTGTTTGTCAGGTCAAGTTTGCTAATTGTGTTGTTCCTGTCTTCTGCATCCTGCTCAGTTTTTGGTGTGATTGTGTTGCTACTGTGTTCTGTATCCTTGCTCAGTTTTTGGTCTGACTGTGGTGTTCCTGTCTTCTATATCCTTGCTCAGTTTTTGCTCTGCTTTTGTAGTTAACATAAAAGGATTGTTGAAGTGAAGTCTCCCGCTTTCATTGTAGTGTTTTGTATTTTTCCTTTTAATTCAATTTTTGCTTTAATGTTTTGAAATTATGTTATTGGATACATACAGATTTAAAATTGTCACATCTTCCTAGTGAATTAAAAACAACATATTTGTGTGCATGTATTTCCTTCCCTTCCTTATACAGAAGCTAGTGTCGTTTATATACTTGTCCTTCATGTAATGATTTTACTTTCTTTCTGAAACCTCTACTGCTAAGTAAACAACCATTAACTGGAAAAAATATTTGCATCGATTTCATTAAAAAAATTGTGATGCATTCCACCCAACCGAAGATACTCAGATGATTTTTACTGTTAGGAAAATGTATTCATTGACCAATAAAACAAGTTTAGATGAATAAAAACAATACTTTGAATATAAAAATACAGTTTCCGTATACAATTTATTGTAATGAAGGTTTATTGGCCTTATTAAAAGAAGAAGACAAGATTTGACAGTGGGGGCTAGGTGTGGTAGCTCACACCTGTAATCCCAGCACTTTGGGAGGCTAATGTGGGCGGGTCACTTGAGGTCAGGAGGAGTACGAGACCAGCCTGGCCAGCATGGTGAAACCTCGTCTCTACTAATAATACAAAAAATTAGCCGGGCGTGGTGGCGTGCGCCTGTAATCCCACCTACTCCGGAGACTGAGGCAGGAGAATCGCTCGAACCCGTGAGCCAAGATCACGCTACTGCACTCCAACCTGGGCGACAGAGTGAGACTCCATCTCAAAAAATAAAAATAAAAAATGAAGTCATAGCAAAAGTTACAGAGAAACACCTTGAGGGCAAAATAAATACTGAACCCAAAAGCACTTCCAAACACATGGAAATAGCCTGTGCGCTCATCCCACTTCAGAATCATAGAAGCTTCAGCCCTCGTGATCGGCGTACATAAGCAAAAGCAGGCATTTGGGATTTATCCAAACATGACATGCAATGCAGATTTGTTCCATATGGTGGTGTTGGACTAGAAACTGTTGCATAGTAAGTTAATCAGTGAGTGTGTCTTCATGTGAGAGTGTAATGTCAAATGTCATTCCTTATATCATGTTTACCCAGTGTATTTAGAGATGAAAAAGTCACTCAACCAAAAAAAGGAGTGTTGCCAAGAAGTTGTATAGCTTTTTTTTTTTTTTTTTTTGAGACGGAGTCTCGCTGTGCTCCCAGGCTGGAGTGCAGTGGCGTGATCTCGGCTCACTGCAAGCTCCGCCTCCCGGGTTCATGCCATTCTCCCGCCTCAGCCTCCCAAGTAGCTGAGACTACAGGCGCCCGCCACCACGCCCGGCTAGTTTTTTGTATTTTTAGTAGAGATGGGGTTTCACCATGTTAGCCAGGATGGTCTCGATCTCCTGACCTCGTGATCCACCCGCCTCGGCCTCCCAAAGTGCTGGGATTACAGGTTTGAGCCACCGCGCCCGGCCAGAAGTTGTATAGCTTTTTAAGAGTGTTTATGGCGAAAGTCGTTAATTGAACAGTACTTGAACAGGTAAGTCTGTAAACGGGACTTCATCTTGCTTTTTTCCCATGTAAATATATATTAGAGATGGGAGCAGTGGCTCACACCTGTAATCCCAGCACTTTGAGAGGCTGAATCACCTGAGGTCAGGAGTTCGAGACCAGCCTGGCCAACACGGTGAAAACCTGTCTCTACTGAGAATACAAAAATTAGCTGGGCGTGGTGGTGCGCACCTGTAATCCTGGCTACTTGGGAGGCTGAGGCAGGAGAATCGCTTGATCCTGGGAGGCGAAGGTGGCAGTGAGCTAAGATCGCACCACTGCACTCCAGCCTGGGCAAAAGAGTGAGACCTTGTCTTAATAAAATAAAAAGTAAAAAATATTTGGGAGGCCAAGGTTGGGGGGCGGATCATCTGAAGTCGGGAGTTCGAGACCAGCCTAACCAAAATGGAGAAACTCTGTCTCTACTGAAAATACAAAAATTGGCCGGGCGTGGTGGCTCATGCCTGTAATCCCAGCACTTTGAGAGGCCAAGGTGGGCGGATCACCTGAGATCGGGAGTTTGAGACCAGCCTGACCAACATGGTGAAACCTCATCTCTACTAAAAATACAAAATTAGCCAGGCGTGGTGGTGCATGCCTGTAATCCCAGCTACTCGGGAGGCTGGGGCAGAATAATCGCTTGAAACTGAGAGGCAGAGGTTGTGGTGAGCTGAGATCGTGTCATTGCACTCCAGCCTGGGCAACAAGAGTGGAACTCCATCTCAAAAAAAA